TTTATCTGCGTTATATGTTCTGTAAAAAAAAGTTCATATCGGCGGTATATTCGCCGATACCAATATCACGGCGACATATTTGCCCATACCGATATATCGGCGACAGGCTCATATCGGCCAATAATATCGGCTAAACGATATATCACTCGGGCTCTAACACAAACACACAGTGCTTTTATTTACACGTGTCAAACTAGTTTCATGATTCTTCCTCATCTTGAGACTCGTGTTCAGACGGATGTTTTAACAGCAGCTCTCATTTAAACCTCAGTGTAAAACAGAATTTGAGTTCAATGAATCAAACTCAAAACCCTTAATTCCAGCAGTCTCCGGACCCGTATACACAGACTTCTCGGGTTTGCAGATTACAGTGCGTTGATTGCAAAGCGGCCTTCAGGTTTTGAAAAGCCACTTCTTACTGCTATTAAACTTCTTACTGTTATTAAAAAACAAAACACAAACAGACGACTTACGCTGTCCTCACTGCTGCATGACACGACATGCTTGAGTTTGATTTCAGGCATGTTTTTCAAGTTACACACTCGCTTCTGGTCTCATAAAACCTGAAAAACACTGGACAACAAACAGATATCATTTCTTCAACAGTGAAAATTATCATATCATGTAAACGAAAGCCTGGATAACACTATGTCTACAATTAACAGGGTTTCAACACTTTGAAAAACACTTTTCCAGTTGTTTATAAGTTGCTGGATAAGAGTTTTACCAAAACAAACAAAAACAAAAGCATCATTCAGATTCAGACTGATTCGCGAATGAGTCATTTAGAACGATTCGCGAGTCGACTCAAAAGAACGATTCGGTCACAAATCAAACATCATTCATGGCTAATTGTACTGTAAGCAACTGTAAAATCTATTCAATATGACATACGGTGGTAACCAGAGTAAGATATTAACCATGGCACTGAGTAATAATGCCAGAAGAGTGATAACAATGCTCTAGATTAAAAACCTACTCAACAACAACTACTAAAATTTTGAAACACTAAAGATTGTGTTTATATTGAGACTGACCAGCTGTCAATCACCAGGAGCAGCTGATTACCTGATCTAGTTTAGGTAAACGACTAATTTAGCTGGTCTAACGTTAGTTTATATAAAAGGAGTGCCATATAAACGACTAGTTTAGCGAGTTAACTAGCATGCTTCACTGCTAGCGAACAATAGAGCCGCGTTACGGCGCTCACTAAAGCGGCAGAAACCGCGCTGGAAGCATTCAGAGACTCAAACACATTACATTAAGAACACTGTACCGAAATCCAGATCACGAAACCCGGTTTATGTGGTTTATTGTAGTCTGTGAGAGACGAGCCCGCTTACAAACTCCCTCTCAATCCACAACACGTGACATCACTTCCGCCCGCCGCCGAATCAGAGCGCCGCTTCACAGGAACTCACGACTGGACACGCTCGACTGCAAAATAAAAGTCCTTTAAAGCGCAAAAATAAAAATAATTAAGTCTTACAAAAAGAGACATACTAATTATATGTCCTCAAGGCTGACCTAAAAGCCTTTCGGTTTTATGAATGTAGTGTTTTATGAATTTATAGTCCTTGTAATGTACAAATATATGGAGGACGAAACCTGCAAAAACAATAAATAAATAAATACATAAATAAATATGCAAATAAATGTGTGTATAAATACACAAATTCTTGTTTAAATACATATATAAATAATTAAACATGTGATTAAAGTAGGCAAATAAATAAAATAAATTGGTGGGCAAATGGAAAATGTTTAAGGAAATGCTAAACTCATCCTATTTATTTTCCTTTGATCACTCATTTATTTCTGAATGTAGTTCCGCATTCAGTATTTGTCCTCTGCACAACATGCTAATGAGAGGGTGTCAACCATGGACTTGCTCGGGTCTTGTGATAGCTGGGGGCCTGGCTTTCCGCTGACAGGAGATGCATGCTGTTAAGCCTAGTAAAGTCACTTTTCCGTTCAACAGAGCAAGATGCATAGAAAAACTGAGCCGTACTGTCCGTACAGTATCTGTGACTTTACAGAGGTGTCATTTCCCGGCACTCGATAGCCACAAATCTAGGGGCCGCCTCTAAAGCTACACACGACATTGGTGTACACTTTTCTAACTTCAATAGCATTTGAGGAGAATGACTCACAGTAACACAACCAGCTGTGAAGTGTTCATGTAGGTCTCAGTTATAATGCACACCTTTTAGATTTTTGATATTTATTCAAATAAACTGTAAATTCGTATCTACACTGTAAAAAAAAATTCCTGTTGAAATTACAGTAACTAACCGACAGCAGTTTGCGGTAAAAAAAAAAAAAAAGAGATGTAAATCAACCACAGCTGCAAGTATTCTACTGTTATTTTCAGGATGTCATGCTAATAAAGCAATATGAATTGAACTGAGTTGAGAGGAATAATTGATTACTAAGCAATTATATTAGATTATTATCTTTCTTTCTTTTTTCAGATCGAATGCCATCAATGCAGGAGGTGGTTTCATGTGCCTTCCAGTGACAGACAGACAGCTCGAGGGCTCAGAAGGTTGACTGGAAGTGCTGCCTATGTAAATAGTTTTCTAATAATGCAAATCGTCTAATATATTACAGTTCTTTAATGTAAACTTTCAGGTTTGGGTTGGGGGAGGGCATTGGGGAAATGAAAAATATGAAGTTACACAGTTGTCACTGTTTTTTTCCCCCATTGTTATTTAGTGGAACTGCTAATTTTACAATTTGTGGATATAGTTTTACAGTAACTGAGAAGTGAGGCAAACCAATTTCAGTAAACTTTACAGTATAACAGTATATTTTCTATTGTTTTAAAGTGCATTACTCAAGAAAGGACCAAAAAATTAACACAATAATAAAATATTTTACAGTTAAACAATATTACACTGTAAATACATTTACAAATACTGAATGTGGAACTACATTCAGAAATAAATGAGTGATCAAAGGAAAAT